CGAGATTACAGATTTCTAGATCCAACCGATAATTGACAACCGTAAACCGTAGCACAGGCTATTTTTCAAAATTCGTCATCTGTGGGATTTGAACTCTAGACCTGCTACTTGGAGAGAGTGACGACTAGACCACTACACTAAGTCACCACACCTTTACATAAATATAAATATATATTTATATGTGAGGCTAATATAATATAAAAAATTGAGCACAGAGTTGTTTAACTATCCAATTTGAAAATTTCTTTTTGAAGCCAACTCTTTAGATATAGAATCACTCTGCAGATTCATCTTGTATTTTTTTTTATTTTTTGGTCGCAATTTTATTAAGTTCGAAACATCAATATTTATTTTATTAAAAATTGAAACTTCAACACTTATTTATCACACTGAGAAATATTGAAAGATGGATTTCGAACTGAGGACTGAGAATTATTCAGTTCTCAGTCTTTTACCGTTCGGTTCCAGTCTTTACGAAGACCGATCCATCTCTAATCATATTTTAGTGCAAATTTATAACTGTTAAATAGAATTTTATAGATTGCACATATTTTTTAAAACAAATATATGTTTGATTTGATAATTAAGTATGTAAAATAATAATCTTATATATTTTAAAATGTGATTTATATATTCAAATTGATTAATAATTTAAAACAAAATAAAGTTAAATACATGTATTTAAATAATTATTAATAGTTTAGCTTATCATTATACTTATTGTTGTTTTTCTTTAATCTTTTCTTAATCTTAACTTTGGTTCTAATATAGATGAAAATTCATTAGACAATAATGAGATATCTGATTTATCAAAACAATCTCAATCATCTAATAGTAATTCTCTTTTTACAAAAAAACGAACATCAAATATAAAAAACAAAAATACTTTATTCAAACAAAATTCTAAATATAAATGTAGTATAGTGCATTCATTTGTATGGGACTATTTTAAACTTGATAGTGATTCTACTATTTGTCAAGTATCTGTAGTTAAAAAAAATGAACAGGTTATTTGTGGCAATAAACTTTTATATAAATCATCAACCTCTAATATGCAATATCATCTTTGTGTAGAACATGATATAATTGATAACACTAAAGTTAAAAAACAATCCTCTATTCAACCAATTGAACTATATTTTAAACATCCTTATTCTAAATCAAACCAACAAAAATTACAGCGTGTAGTAGCTGAATGGATTGTTATAGATAATTTGTCATTAAATATTGTTTAAGGTGTTGGGTATAAAAAAATGATGATACAAATTAATCCAGCTTTTATGATTCCAAATAATAAGGCTCTTAAAAAAAATATTTCAATAGGAATGCATTATGGTACCCAACAACTTAAAAAACTTATTATAAAAAATTATAAATCAGCATCAATTACAACTGATATGTGGACTGCTAGAAGTAAATCAGGATATATTGGTATTACTATACATTGGCTAAATACAAATTTTACAATTGTTAATATCTTACTTTGTATAGATAAAATGCTATATCCTTATATGGATTATGTAATTCAAAAATATTTAGAGCAAAAAATCAATGAATTTGAATTACAAAATAAAATTACATATATAGTTTCTAACAATTGATCTAATATGAAAAAGGCAGTTAAATTATATTTAGACCTTCAAAGACTTCCATGTGCTGCTTATACAATGCAGTTGTCAGTTAGTCAAGGCTTAGATCAAATTAAAAGTTATACAAAAAAAATTAAAAAATTAGTTAAGTTTTTTAATTCACCAAAACAAAGAGAATGATTAGATCAAGCTCAACAGAAATTGTATCAATATAAAAAAAAAAACTTTATATCTCAATTTGCAAATGAATCTGATAGTAATTTTGAGTCTGATGATGATAATTCTGTTATTTCAGAACAACTATCAAATATTCAAATATTAAAAAATATAACAGATATAAGAACAAGGTGAAATTCAAAGTATTATTCTTGGTCTAGACTTTTAAAGTTATGTGAATCAATAGAATGGTTATGTAATATTTTGCCAAATGAAGAAACAAAAGATGCTAAAAAAAATACACACAAATTAAAACAACTACTTTTAAATGATTAGAAGTAAAAATTAATACAAGGCTTAGTTGATTTATTAAGTTCATTTGAAGCAGCTATGGAATACTTTAGTGGTACTCAATATATAACACTTTCTATAGTATATTTAGCAATAAAAGCTCTTAAGTTTCATTATGCAAGTTTTGAAGTTTTAAACTCTAATAAAGAAAGTTTTGATGACAAAAACTCAAAATTTGAAGATTTTTCAGATTCTTCTTCTTCTAATAAAGATTCTGAATCTGAAAATGAACAAACAAAATTATAACATAATTTACTAATCATATACTAGAACATGTATAAAAAGCTATTTATAATTCATTATTTGAATATTGGAGAAATCCATTACAAATTGGATTACTAGCAACCTTGCTAGATCCACATGTAAAATATTTACAAATTTTTGATAATAATATGCAAAATGATACTATTTCTAAACTACAATACCAATTTGAAGATTTAGTACAAAACTCTAAAACAAGTACTAATATTAATATTATTGTTCATTCTTCTAAAAATACTTCATCAAATCTACTATTAAGTGATATTTTTGAAAATAACTATACTTCTACTACACATAATGATGATAATAAATTAAACTATTATTTTGATAATTAATATACACCACTTGAATCATTTAATACTAATCCTTTAAAGTAGTGGAATAGTAAACAAAAAAAGTTTCTAAATCTTAATATTTTAGCAAAAAAATATTTATCAATACCTGCAATGAGTATATCTAGTGAAAGGTTATTCTTTAATACTGGTAATACTATTTCATCAAAATTATTATTTTTAAAATTAAATAGCAATTATATTGAAATGTTTCTTTTTATATAATTTGATTATTTTATTTTAATATGATAAATTAGATTTTAACATTTATTTTTGGCATAATTTTTTTATTAAATAGACTTACAATAACTTATATTTAGTAATTAATGCACCTTTATAAGCTTTATTTTACTATTGAATACATACTTTATTGATATTTTTAATAAAGTTTTACTTTAAGCAAAACCTGAATTAGCATTATTAAATAAATCGATTAATTTGCATTTAAGATTAAGTTAAATAGCTTAGACATATGAGCTAATTTATGGAATTGCTAATAACTTTTGATATACTACTTTATTTTAAATAATTTTACTACCAAAATGTTCAGCTCAATGAGACAATTCTAATGAATCCAAAATTATTAAAATCTAATTACAGAATCCCAAGATAATTAAAGTTTTGTATAAATTTACTATTAACTTTTAGAGTTACTATAAATACACTTAATATTAAATAACTTTTGATATATTGGTCTATTTTGGATAATTTAACTACCAAAATGTTTGTCTCAAAGAGACAATTCTAACAAGCTCAAAATCATTAAAACCCAATCACAGAATCCCGAAATAGTTAGGAATTTGTATCATTAACCAATCATATTAAAGATTGGTTTTTATATATAAAACCAATCTTTAATATGATTGGCTAATAATACAAATTCCTAACTATCTCTGGATCCTGTGATTAGATTTTAATAATTTTGAGCTTGTTAGAATTGTCTCCTTGAGATAAACATTTTGGTAGTTAAATTATCCAAAATGAACCAATATATCAAAAGTTATATAATATTAAGTGTATCATATCAGCGAATTTATGAAATTTGGTCTTTTTTTAAGACCTCAAATTTTATATAATTTTACAAGTTAAACTATCTTATCTCTAAGATCCATTGGGTTAATGCTTATCTATTGAGTTTATTTATATGATTAGTTGTATGTTGATCATCTAACCATCATCTGACCAATCAATTTTTGTAAACAAATGTATTTTGGTGACCATTTTTAGAGTCCAATTTCAATTCCATAAATCTGCTGATATGTTTATAGTAACTCTAAAAGTTAATAGTAAATTTATACAAAACTTTAATTATCTTAAGATCCTGTAATTGGATTTTAATGATTTTAGATTTATTAGAATCGTCTCATCAAGCTGAATATTTTAGCAATAAAATTATTTAAAATGAGGTAGTATATCAAAAGTTATTAGCAATTCCATAAATCAGCCCATATGATTTTAACTATCTAATTAACCAGTTAAAAAAAACTTTAACTAATTATTAATTGGTTAAGGTTTTTTTAGTCAGTTCCAATCTCTATGATGACTACCCAACTAAATTTGATAAAATTTTTTTATATTAATTCTACAGATTAGTAGAATTCAAATAAAAATTTTTCATCAAATTTAGTTAGGTGATTGCTAAAATAACCTCAGAAAAAATTTAAAATATCTCAAAAGTTGTGCAAATTGTTTCTAAATTTGAGCGAAGATATCTTGATAATCTTCTGACAAATCTTTATGAATTTTTTTTTATTTGAATTCTACAAATAAATAGAATTTGAATAAAACAAATTTGGTCAGGTGGTCGCTAAAATAACTTCACTCAAAGTTGGACAAATTCCAAACCGTTTTTCAAAATAGAAGTTGTACTGAATTATTTTTAAAAATTTAAGTGAAGATATTTCAACAACCACTTAACCAAATTTGATAAAACATTTTTATTTGAATTCTACAGATTCACAGAATTCAATTTAAAAAAATTCCATAGAATTTAATCAGGTGGTTACCAATATATCTTAACTCTAAGTTGAAAAAATTTAAAATAATTAAGCTATGCTGAATTATTTTTAAATCTTTGAGCAGAGATATCTCAATAAGCAGCTGATCAAATTAAGTGAATTTTTTTTTATTTATATTCTATAAATCTGTAGAATTCGAATAAAAAAAATTTTATCAAATTTGGTTAGGCCACGCAAAGTTGATTTTTCATTTTGCATTATATGGATTTCAAAATTAAAGACAGACAAACAGATTTTTTTTTTTTTTTTTTGTATTTATTTTTTTTTAATCTAATTTACTGCAAATAGAATAATAATCATATTTTAGATTATATTTTTATAACAAGGAATCAAAAAATTAGGCCGGCAGTCATATTTTTCCAGTTAGTCCTATCAGACAATTTCGGGAAATTAAGATCTCTATCAGGTAATACTAGATAAAAATAGCAAAAAAAATAAATATTAAAATTGAACAATTGGCATAATTAGGATCTAAAAAAAAAAAAATAGAATAGCAGATAATGCAAACCGAAAAATCAACTTTGCATAGCCTTAGGTAGTTGCCAAGATATCTTTGTAAAAATAATTCAGTGCAGCTTTTATTTTGATATTAATCTAGCTGCCACAACAAATTTGAACCACATTATACTAATTTTTTGGCCAGAATTAACTTTTTAATTTTTTTATTACAAAAATAGAAATTTCTAAAAAATAAGCCTATATTATAACAAAATTGGCTCAAAAACAATTTTCACTTAATAGGCGGCTATGATTTCTTTAGTAAAATTATGGGTAATTCCGGCCTAATCTTTTGATCATCACTCTTAGCCAATCAAAATCAAAAATTTGCTGGTCTAAATTGTTGCAGCAACTATGGTTAATTATTTTAATAAACATTTTGAATTTTTTCTAGTTTTGAGTAAAAAGATATATCGGTAACCACTTATCTAAATTCAATAGAAATTTTTTTATTTAAATTCTATAAATCAGTAAAATTCAAATAAAAAAAAGCATCAAATTTGGTCAGATAGTCATTGAAATATCTTCACCTAAAGTTTAAAAATAATTTAGTACAACTTCTATTTTAAGATATTTTGAAATTTGTCCAACTTTAAGCAAAGCTATCTCAGTGACCACCTGTTTAAATTCAATAAAAATTTTTTTATTTGAATTTTACTTATTTCTAAAATTCAATAAATAAAAAAAATTATAAAGTTTGTCAGGCAGTTATCAAGATATTTTTGCTTGAATTTTAATAATGATTTGCATAACTTTTGAATTTTTTCAACTTTGAGCAAAGATATCTCAATGACTGTATGACTAAATTTGATAAAAAGTTTTTTATTTGAATTCAGCAGATTTGTAGAATTCAAATAAAAATCTTCATTGAATTTAATTAGATAGTTGTTAAGATATCTTTGCTCAAAGTTTTAAAATTTATTAGATTTCAAAGTCAGATCAGAAATGATCTGTAGTCCAGATTTAAAAAATCTGTACTGCACGATGAGGTGTTCAATATACTATATAAGTCAAATATATATATAGTCTTATATGAAAATTACTATTGGATTTTTTTTGATGATCACCGATTTGATTTATAATATATAAGTTTTATCAATATTTAAAAAGTCTATTCATACATATTTATACATTTTATTACTTGGCAAAGATTCTAACATTTAAATTTACATAATTCTAGAAATATTTTAGTCACTTCTTTCTTCTCATATATTTCTACACTATTTTGTACTATTTTCTTCGATAATTTTTCACGTTTTATACAAATTTTTGTAAGTTCTGAGCCAATATTTTCTCTATTAATATTTCTAGATGAAAGTTGTAATTTTGATTGCTTCAGGTCTTGTGTCATATTTAGGTGAATCTTCAAATCTAATTTATTAAAAAGTCTCTCTACTTGTTGTTAGTAGATTATAATATAGTAAATTTGTTCTTTAACGAATTTATATAATAATGGATATTTATAAATTTTAGAGTTCAAATTGGAACAAAATTTCTCAAACTCATTTCTAAATTCTAAAGAGCTTAATAATTCTTTCTGAAGTCCGAAAGTATTATTAGTTGATTCAAAATTATCATGTAATTGTTGTGCTAAATTTATTTCATCTTCTGTTAATTCCAGAAGCCACTGCTAAAAAACAACATAGTAGAATGCCCATGCAAATTCATGGCTAGAATTTCTACCTAAGCTGCAAATTGATAAGGGTAAATGTACCCATGGAGATATCCATTTTAAAAAACTATCATATGCCTTGTTCATTCCTCATTCTAAACTATCAAAGAGCTCACTAAAGTCTTCATTATTTAGTGATTCAAGTGCTATAAGCAGTTCTTGCCCAAAGAATGTGTCAAAATTTTCTTTAAGTTCATTTAGAAACTTTATTCACTTATTCACTTTATTAGACATTTCGTGAGTACGTTGACTAGATGGAAGTTGGACAAATAGTTTTTTACTTGAATACGAGATATAGGATCCTTTTCAACTATAAACTGCATTAATAGTTTATATAAGTATTCACTGAATATAACCAAACACTAAACTTGAATATTCAGTTTTTTATTTAAGAGCCAATCCTAAAATAAATGCCTAGAAATAGAGTATAAAAAAATTTATTAGCAAATTTATTTTAAAATAAAA